GATTAATTATTTATTACAAAAGAATTAGAACCTCTAACCTTAAAGTTAAAAATAATAATTCACCTCCTAGAGCAAAATTAAATAGGGCAAATATTATTTACGAATTTAAATGACCCTTAAGGAATTGTATTCCTGATCAATCAAAATTCGTAAATAATTATATAGGCCACACTACAACATGTTTGACACGCAGACTAACTCTCCACTTTTCTGACCATAGCTCAATTAGATTTAATTTAAATATTCACGGGGACCTACCGGACACTATTCGTAACATACTTATCGACAACACAAATATAATATCATCATCTACATGCAAAAAAGGCTAAAAATAATGGAAGCCTTATTAATAAAAAGAAAAAATCAACACTTAATAATATCAACTATGAACATGGACATAATATCTTGACGGTGTTTTGAAAAATGAAAACACTATATAAATACATACAAACAACAAACTATTTCTTGTTAACAGTTAATATATTTCAACCTTGAAAATGGCTAAATGTATTGCCGAAAGCGCTCAGATGAAAAGAACATTCGGACAGTTTTTATATAATTTATCAACTGAAAAGAAAAACATTATTAGATCGCATAACAAATTAGATAAAAAAAACTAAATCAAAGCACTTTCTCAATGAAGTGTGCATGAAAGAATGATTGTTTCCTAAATACCCCCCCACACACACATATATATAGCTAATATTAGTGGTAAATATACACATACATATGCAAAATATATAAATATATATACATACATGCATACACATACATATATATTTTTTTAATAAAAAAATTCCAAGAGGATAGAATCCAGGTAGAACTCAATGTCCAGGACAGAGTAAGGATATAATAAAAAGGCTTAAACACTAATATTCCATGGTCATAATTTATTCCATTGGAATCGTAAATACGATCCAATTCATCAGACCTAGAAATTCAAAAAGAAAACAGAAAAAAACAACTCCGGAAATAAAAATAGAATTTAGAGAGAGTGTAATTACGAATGTTAGAGCTAAAGAGAGGGGTAACAGATGAAAGAAGGTGGGAAATTAAACCTTAACAGAGAGGAGTTTTAGAGAGGGGAGTTGAAGACGGTTTAAGTGAGAGAAATATGAATTTTGTCAGATGTCTAATACATTAATGATGTAATCCTGAAATGATACATTTGTGGATATATATATATATATATATATATATATATATATATATATATATATATATATATATATATATATATATATATATCATTCAGTTCATGCTGTCTGACTCTATATCTAAATCAATTAATATTTATATATACATGTATATATGTATGTATATATCTAAATCAATTCATGACTATCTATTTATTTATCTATCTTACTTCATTCAAGGTTTGTATATATATATATATATATATATATATATATATATATATATATATATATATATATATATATATATATGTTTGTATGTATATAAATATATATAGGTATGTTCGTCTGTATAAAATATATATTATGTTTATTTATATATATATATATATATATATATATATATTTAGTTATACAGTAATAATTACATTCAGGCCCGTAAATGTAATTAATGCTGTTTAATTAAAGAACCGACAATTTACTTAAATTATATTTATAAAAATGACGTATAAGCACTATATATATATATATATATATATATATATATAATTCGATTGAGCGCTCGGAGAGGAAGAGGTAGAGGTGATTTTATAAGCAGTGGCTGCTGCTGCTGCTAATGCAATGCTCTTCAACTAGAATCGATCTCTGCTATCCATTGACGTCTTTCGTATAGTAAAAACGTAAAGTTTTCTATTACTCTCTGCCGTGTGACAATAGTCATGTTTCGATCCTGATTTATATATATATATATATATATATATATATATATATATATATATATATAATTATTCATAAAAACAAATGCAAAGGTTAATGATTTAATTGGCGAGAAATCCATCGTCGCAAACAATTCAAATAATATACAAAACCCCCCGTACCTGTTATGAATGAAAAGATCCTTGTTTCTATAAATTTCTGCTGCAAGGATCTTTGCCTTTGGGTGTTTTTCTTCTCTTTTAGCTCGTATACCATTGTGCTGGTATTTTTATGGCGACGATATTATACATGGTCCTGGCCTTCGGCTTAATTTTGAGAGTCGTGAGATTAGCGTACTCCCAATGAATCTATTTCTCTCCTGGCCAGATTAGAATTTATTCAGTTGAAATTGTTTTTAGATGTGTTACTTAGGTTTAAAGTGTTCTTATGTAGCATGTCGCTGTGATGTTCGTGAATTTGTTTTCGATCTTCTGAGATATTCGGCTGATGGACACCATTGGGCTTTTTGAACAATCTATTTTTTACATTTCTGCCTCTGTTTTTGTTGCTGTCTCGTTTGGTGCTAACTTTAAATCTTTTTTTTTCTTTTTTAGAGGTGGTGTTGGTGAATTTTAGGTTAAGGTTGGGTGAATTATTTTCGATAGCGTCTGTTAATAACTATTGCTTCTTTCTAATCTATTCATATCGACCGATTTGTTCAAATCAATGCCGATATGTTCATATCAATCTATGAATATACAAATATCTATCTATCTATCTTTCTATCTATCAGGCTATTTATATGTATCTATCTGACTGTTCATATCTATCTATCTATCTATCTTAGTCTGTTCGTATCTATCGATCTATCTATCTATCTTAGTCTGTTCGTATCTATCTATCTATCTATATATATATATATATATATGAGACATTTTTTTATGTTTATACATTCTTTCTATAGATACAAATATTTAAGTAAATGCTCTGTTTATAATAAACAGTATTAACAACATTTACCGGCCTGAATCTCCGAGAAATTTTTATAGAAACTATGCGTCCTCCGACAGCAATCGAACCTGTATCCTAAGAAAAAAAATGTCTTAAAAAATAATTGTCGAACTTTGTCCATTTCATAAGGTATGACGTCATGTTTTTTTTTTACATTTAGATACGCATTGAGCAGATATGAATGAATGAGAGAAAATCATGGAGAATTGTGTTTAAAAACAGTAAAATCAACCTTGCTAACCGAACGCTCCTCTGTGGCCCAATTGGTTAAGGCATGTCAGGCTATATGACGGTTCCGTATAGGATACATGCTCAGAGGACGCATATTTTCTATGAAAATTTCTCGAACATTCATTGAACTCCCAACTCCTTTGGCTCTAGTTACTGGATCTAACCAACGTCTTTATCCACTCGGCCATGTGTATTCAGTGGATACAATTAATTATATTAGCTCATCTCAGAGATATAGACAGTGGCTCTCAACTGATTTTGAGCCATGCCCTACTTTTGTATTCTGGTGCCCTACATGTAATATTTAATGCTTACTTATTCAAAATGTTACTGCAATTCACGTAAAGGAAGCTTAAAATGTCATTAACTTGGTATCTAAGCAAGCCTCCAAAGATCATAGCGTCCATGAAAGAGAAAATTAAAAAAAAAAACAAAAACAAAAAGACAGTTAAATATATATTTTTTAAAAACATATCATAGAGAACAGAAAGGCAGAAATATAAAATATTTGAATGAAATCTTATTCTGTAATATTCTTTGATCATGAAATAATGCAATCATTATTGGCAGCTACTGGTTCATAATGAACCGCTTTTAAAGTAAAAGCCATGGAGTCCAAGTGCTTTCTTGTGCATTCTTTCGTCACACGAACCTCATACTTTTCGACCAACTTCTTTACAACGTCTTCAAGAGTGACCCTAGGAGAGTTTTCAATTAATTCGTTCATAAAATTCTTATGCACTTGCGTAATTTTATATTTTCTTGCTCCTCCCCTAGAGTCACTCTTATCAGCACCCTGGTCTAACCAACGGTACGCTGTTGGCAGAGGCACACCATTTGTTCTTGCCAGGTCTTTCCAATTTCCTGCTGCGGTACGTGCAGCTAAAATCTGGGCCTTTTTTTCGCCAGCCACAGTTTTCTTGAGGTAAGTCCTCTTTGAAGCTGTTGCTAATTCTTCTTCAGCTTCTTTTGTAGAGGTTTCTCCAGCATCATCATCAATCATCATTTTTGACCATACGGGACTTTCTCCTCCTATTTTTACTGTAGGCTCACCTAATGCTTTCTTGGCCTCTAAGTTGTTTGTATTTTGTTTTTTTCTTCATCGATATAATGAGCTCGCGAGAAAACAATTCACTGTTGATAACTCATTCTCGAATTGACCCCCTATTCTTCTACTTAACTTGGTCTCTAAACAAACCTCCGACGACAATGGCGTCCATGAAAGAGAAAAATTAAAGAAAAACAAAAAGACAGTTAAATATATATATAGTTTCAAAACATATGGAGAACTGAAAGGCAAAAATATAAAATATTTGAATGAAAGCTTATTCCGTAGTATACTTTCATTTTAATCATGAAATAATAATGCAAAATGAAATTTGAGCTCACGTTGGTATAGAAATCCGAAGGGTGCACATCCTACGCATGTCTCACAAAAATATTACCATGCCCTACCGCCCTATGTTGGCAATTATTGAACTAGAAGGAACATAGAATCCTTTTTTGATCTATTCTTTGTTTTCCCTTCAATTTTAAGGAAAGACTTTTGATGACCAGTGTAGATATTTCAAATATGGCCATTTTGTTCATGACATGGTCGAAAGTTTATAAATAACGGACTAATGTCAGTGTTCTGCAGGTCGCGTTTATTTTAAAAAATCGATAAGATCGATACGGAACGACATGGAGAGTCCAGAAGAGGAGGGGGCGTATTTGTTTGTTTTCTTCGATAGCAACTTCGGTAGTTGAAAACTAATCACTTGATACATGTTCAACCTGATTGATTTTTTTTTTCATTCAATGGCCTTATTTCTGTCACCTACGCCATATGGGTGTTTCAAAGAAACGCAAGAATAACTTGAAAAATCTGAATGTAATTTTATGCGTTTTTGGTGCAATTTTAATTAGGATTTGTGATTTCACAAGCTAATCTGTGACACTCTGTGAAAGAAATCGAGTCATAGAGTGAGAGAAAAAGAAAGGAAGAAACAATGAGAGAGTGGAATAAATGGGAGAAAGAAAGAAAGAAAGAAAGAAAGAAAGAAAGAAAGAAAGAAAAGGAGAGAAAAAAAGGTGAGAGGGAAAACTAGATAAAGAAAAAGAAACGATTATTTGGCTTGGTTTGGTTTGTTTTATGACATATCAACACCTCAATGGGTTATTTAATACCAACAAAATTGTTATTGCTGGTAATATTTTTTTCTTCAAATATTCATTGCTGGTAATAATCTATTTTTTTTTTTTTTTTTGAGGGGGGAAATTTTGCCCATAGTTGGAACCCTAACAGATGCTACCACCCTGGGTCATGGTGGACCTGGGAATACCAGCAATTAAGAGGTGGTTCCACGCTCCTCAAAACCTTCTGACCAAAGGCCTTGTTGTCTGATGTAGTTTATCGTCTTACCCAGGATGCTCTTAACAGGTGCTACCACCCCCGGGTCAGGATGAACCTATGAACACCAGCAATTAATCGGAGCTTCCACGATCCTCAAAACCTCCTGATCAGAGGCCGTGTCGTTGGATGTAGTTTATCGTCTTACCCAGGACGGAAGAATCAATGAAGAGAAAAATGAGAAAAGAAGATATATATATATATATATATATATATATATATATATATATATATATATATATATATATATATATATATATGTAGGGGGACAGAGAGAGAAAATTAGATACTGAGAAAGCTCAAGAATAGATTGACAAATAGGGAATGTCACGCGGTTTTGATGTAATTTTAATTAGAATTTTAAGGCAATTTCACAGACTAGTTGGCGGTATTATGTGTGTGTAAAAGTACAGGGTAGAGAAAATAAAGAAAAAAAAAGGAAAAGGAAGAAACAGAGAGAGAGAAAATAAATGGTGAGAGAGGAAGGAAAATGATAGAGAAAAAGAAACGTAAAGAATAAATAGGGGAGAGAAAGCAAGAGAAAGAGAAATAGAAAATGGTTTAGAGAAAGAACTGGAGAGAAAAAGAGAAAGAATGATAGAGAGAGGGAAAGAAAAGAAGACTGCAATAAAACTCAAGAACAGTTTGATAGATCGATTTGAAATACGTTTTTGGTGTAATTTTAATTAGGATTTGTGGTAATTTCACAAGCTAATCTGTGACACTGTGTGAAAGAGATCGAATAATAGATTTAGAAAAAAAAAAGAAAGCAAGAAAGAATAAGAGAGTGGAATAAATGGGAGTAAAAGAGAGAGAGAGAGAGAGAGAGAGAGAGAGAGAGAAAGAAAAGGTAGAGAAAAGAAAAAGAGAGAAAAAAAAGGTGAGAGGGAAAATAAGATAAAGAAAAAAAACGATGATTTGGGTTGGTTTGGTTTAGTTTGGTTTGGTTTGGTTTGGTTTGGTTTAATTTGGTTTGGTTTAGTTTGGTTTGGTCTAGTTTGGTTTGGTTTGGTTTAGTTTGGTTTGGTTTAGTTTGGTTTGGTTTGGTTTACGGCATATCAACTTTAATGGGTTATTTTATGCCGATAAGATTTGTATTGCTGGAAATATTTTTTTCTTCAAATATTCATTGCTGGTAATATTCTATTTTTTTGGTGGGGGGGGGTGACTTTTTGCCCATAGCTGGAACCCTGCGTCATGGTGGACCCGGGAACACCAGTAATTAAGAAGTGGTTCAACGCTCCTCAAAACCGTCTGACCAAAGGCCTTGTTGTCGGATGTAGTTTATCGTCTTACCCAGGATGCTCTTAACAGGTGCTACCACCCTAGGTGATGGTGGACATGGGAACACCAGCAATTAAGAGGTCGTTCAACGCTCCTCAAAACCTTCTGAACAAAGGCCTTGTTGTCGGAGGTAGTTTACCGTCTTACCCAGGATGCTCTTAACAGGTGCTACCACACTAGGTGATGGTGGACATGGGAACACCAGCAATTAAGAGGTCATTCAACGCTCCTCAAAACCTTCTGAACAAAGGCCTTGTTGTCGGAGGTAGTTTATCGTCTTACCCAGGATGTTTTAACAGGTGCTACCACCCTAGGTGATGGTGGACATGGGGAACACCAGCAATTAAGAGGTCGTTCAACGCTCCTCAAAACCTTCTGAACAAAGGCCTTGTTGTCGGAGGTAGTTTATCGTCTTACCCAGGATGCTCTTAACAGGTGCTACCACACTAGGTGATGGTGGACATGGGAACACCAGCAATTAAGAGGTCGTTCAACGCTCCTCAAAACCTTCTGAACAAAGGCCTTGTTGTCGGAGGTAGTTTACCGTCTTACCCAGGATGCTTTTAACAGGTGCTACCACCCTAGGTGATGGTGGACATGGGAACACCAGCAATTAAGAGTTAGTTCAACGCTCCTCAAAAACTTCTGACCAAAGGCCTTGTTGTCGGATGTAGTTTATCGTCTTACCCAGGATGCTCTTAACAGGTGCTACCACCCCCGGGCCAGGATGAACCTATGAACACCAGCAATTAATCGGAGCTTTCACGATCCTCAAAACCTCCTGATCAGAGGCCGTGTCGATGGATGTAGTTTATCGTCTTACCCAGGACGGAAGAAACAATGAAGAGTGTAAGAGAAATAATGAGAGAGAGACAGATAGGGGAACAGAGAGTGAGAGAGAGAGGGGGAGGGGGAGAGAAAATGAGATACTGAGAAAGCTCAAGAATAGATTGTCAAATGGGAAATGTCAGGCGTTTTTTGTGTAATTTTAATTAGAATTTTGAGGTAATTTCACAGATTAATTCGCGGATCTATGTTCGTGTGAAAATGAAATAGATAGATAGATAGATAGATAGATAGATAGATAGATAGATAGATAGATAGATAGATAGAAAAGAAATAAGAAAGAATGAGATAGATAGATAGATAGATAGATAGATAGATATTAAAAGGATTGAGATAGATAGATAGATAGATAGATAGATAGATAGATAGATAGATAGATAGATATGAAAAGGACTGCGATAGATAGATAGATAGATAGATAGATAGATAGATAGATATAAAAATGACTGCGATAGATAGATAGATAGATAGATAGATAGATAGATAGATAGATAGATAGATACTAAAAGGATTGTGATAGATAGATAGATAGATAGATAGATAGATAGATAGATAGATAGATAGATATAAATAGGATTGAGATATAGATAGATAGATAGATAGATAGATAGATAGATAGATAGATAGATAGATAGATATGAAAATGACTGCGATAGATAGATAGATAGATAGATAGATAGATAGATAGATAGATAGATATGAAAAGGACTGCGATAGATAGATAGATAGATAGATAGATAGATAGATAGATAGATAGATAGATAGATATGAAAAGGACTGAGATAGATAGATAGATAGATAGATAGATAGATAGATAGATAGATAGATAGATAGATAGATAGATATGAAAGGGACTGAGATAGATAGATAGATAGATAGATAGATAGATAGATAGATAGATAGATAGATATGAAAAAACAGAGATAGAGAGATAGATAGATAGATAGATAGATAGATAGATAGATAGATAGATAGATATGAAAAGGACTGAGATAGATAGATAGATAGAGATAGATAGATAGATAGATAGATAGATATGAAAAGGATACGATAGATAGATAGATAGATAGATAGATAGATAGATAGATAGATAGATAGATAGATAGATAGAAGCAGAATGAGATAGATAGATAGAAAACAAAGAAGCAGAATGAGATAGATAGATAGAGAGAGAGAGAGAGAAAGAGTGAAAGAATGTGTGAGAAACAGAGAGAGAGTGTGTGTGAAAATAAAGGGGGGAATAGAAAGAAATAGAGGTTGAGGAAAAGAAATGGATAGAGAGAGAGAGAAAGGAGAGGTAGCGAAAGGTTGGGAGAGAGAATGGCAAAGAGAGAAAGTAAGGGCAAAAGAAACCAAAAAACATAGAGAAAAAGAGAGAAATAAATCACAGAGAGAGAGAGAGGGGTGGGAGGGAGTGATTGAGAAACTCAAGAATACTTTGACAAATGGAAAATGTCATGCGTTTTTGCTATAATTTAATTAAAATTTTAAGGTGAATTCCCAACCTGATTTGTGACACTGCGTGAGAGAGAGATCAAGAGATCAAGAGAGAGAGATCAAAGAGAGAGAGAGAGATCAAGAGATCAAGAGAGAGAGAGATCAAGAGAGAGAGAGAGAGATCAAGAGAGAGAGAGAGAGAGTGAGAAATAAAAGAAAAGGAAAAAGAATGAGAGAGTGGAATAAATGGGAGAGAGAGACAAAGAAAGAAAAGAAGGTAGAGAAAAGAAATAGTGAGAAAGAATTTGTGAGAGGGAAAGCAAGAGAAAGACAAAAAAAAGGAAGATAGAAACAGATGAACAGTGTAAAAGAAATAAGAAGAGAGAAAGACAGAGAGAGAGAGAGAGAGAGAGAGAGAGAGAGTGAAAGAAACGGAAAGAAAAATAAAAAGATTATTTACATTATTTGGACTATTGTCCTCATCTTTGCCACCATATTTATTACAACGTTTCGGCCTTTTAATATCTTTCTATATTTCTGAGATGAGGTATTATGTACACTATTTACATTATTCGGACTATTGTCCACATCTTTATCGCCATATTTATTAAAATGTTTCGGCCTTTCAGTATCTGGTCTATTTCTGAGATGAGGTATTATGTACACTATTTACATTATTCGGACTATTGTCCACATCTTTATCGCCATATTTATTACAATGTTTCGGCCTTTCAGTATCTGTCTATATTTCTGAGATGAGGTATTATGTACACTATTTACATTATTTGGACTATTGTCCTCATCTTTGTCGCCATGTTTATTACAACGTTTCCGCCTTTCAGTATCTGTCTATATTTCTGAGATGAGGTATTATGTACATTATTTACATTATTTGGACTATTGTCCTCATCTTTGTCGCCATGTTTATTACAACGTTTCCGCCTTTCAGTAATATTTCTGAGATGAGGTATTATGTACATTATTTACATTATTTGGACTATTGTCCTCATCTTTGTCGCCATGTTTATTACAACGTTTCCGCCTTTCAGTATCTGTCTATATTTCTGAGATGAGGTATTATGTACACTATTTACATTATTTGGACTATTGTCCTCATCTTTGCCACCATATTTATTACAACGTTTCGGCCTTTTAATATCTGTCTATATTTCTGAGATGAGGTATTATGTACACTATTTACATTATTCGTACTATTGTCCACATCTTTATCGCCATATTTATTACAATGTTTCGGCCTTTTCAGTATCTGCCTCCATATTTCTGAGATGAGGTATTATGTACACTATTTACATTATTTGGACTATTGTCCTCATCTTTGTCGCCATGTTTATTACAACGTTTCCGCATAAAAGTATCTGTCTATATTTCTGAGATGAGGTATTATGTACATTATTTACATTATTTGGACTATTGTCCTCATCTTTGTCGCCATGTTTATTAAACGTTTCGGCCTTTCATATCTGGTCTATATTTCTGAGATGAGGTATTATGTACATTATTTACATTATTTGGACTATTGTACATCTTTGTCGCCATGTTTGTTACAACGTTTTCCGGCCTTTCAGTATCCGAATATTTCTGAGATGAGGTATTATGTACATTATTTAGATTACTTTGGACAATTGTCCTCATCTTTGTCGCCATGTTTATTACAACGTTTCCGCCTTCAGTATCTGTCTATATTTCTGAGATGAGGTATTATGTACATTATTTTATATTTGGACTATTGTCCCATCTTTGTCGCCATGTTTATTACAACGTTTCCGCCTTTCAGTATCTGTCTATATTTCTGAGATGAGGTAAATGTACATTATTTATATTATTTGGACTATTGTCCTCATCTTTGTCGCCAATTTATTACAACGTTTCCGCCTTTCAGTATCTGTCTATATTTCTGAGATGAGAAATATAGACATTATTTACATTATTTGGACTATTGTCCTCATCTTTGTCGCCATATTTATTACAACGTTTCCGCCTTTCAGTATCTGTCTATATTTCTGAGATGAGTTATTATGTACATTATTTACATTATTTGACTATTGTCTTCATCTTTGTCGCCAATGTTTATTACAAGATTTCCGCCTTTCAGTATCTGTCTATATTTCTGAGATGAAAATATGTGTATTAAAATTATTCGGACTATTGTCCTCATCTTTATCGCCATATTTATTACAACGTTTCGGCGTTTCAGTATCTGTCTATATTTCAGATGGTATTATGTACACTTTATTTACATTATTCGGACTATTGTCCTCATCTTTTAAATATTTATTACAACGTTTCGGCCTTTTTAATATCTGGTCTATATTTGAGATAAATATGTACACTATTTACATTATTCTGGACTATTGTCCACATCTTTATAGACATATTTATTACAATGTTTTGGCCTTTTCAGTATCTGTAAATATTTCTGAGAAAGTATTATGTACACTATTTCATTATTTGGACTATTGTCCTCATCTTTTGTAACCATGTTTATTACAAATTTCCGCCTTTCAATATCTGTCTATATTTCTGAGATGAGGTAATATGTAAATTATTTAGTTATCATCGGACTATCATCTTTGTCGTCATAATTATTACAACGTTTCGGCCCTTCATTATATGTCTATATTTCTGAGATGAGGTATTATGTACATATTTATAATTATTCGGACTATTGTCCATACTTTAAGGCCGATACGTTGTAATAAATATGGCTCAAAGTATCTGTCTATATTTCAGAGATGAATAATGTAAATATTTGCATTATTCGGACATTGTCCTCTCTTTGTCGTCATATTTATTAAAACGTTTCGGCCTTTCAGTATCTAAATATTTCTGAGATGAGGTAATAGTGTGAATATTTTAATTATTTGGACTATTGTCCCTCATCTTTGTCGTCAATTTATTAAACGTTTCGGCCTTTCAGTATCTGTCTATATTTGTGAGATGAACAGGATATGTACAATATCAAAATATTATTCGGACTATTATCCTTATCTTTGTCGCCATATTATTACAACGTTTCATAATTTCAACTTTCTGTATTTCTGAGATGAGGTATTATGTTCACTATTTACATTATTCGGACTATTGTCCTCATGGTTGCTGAAGACATTGGATTTATAATACCCAGAAATTCACGGACACATGGTACAATGGATAAAAGAGTGTGAGTTCAATTCATTTAAGGAAGTGCAGAACTTTCAAAAGAAATCCCCGTTTTTTTAATCTTATTTTCCCTCTCACCTATTCTTTTTCTCCTTTTATTTTCTCTACCTTTTTTTCTCTAATCTCTCTAATTAAATTTATTCCACTCTCTCATTCTTTCTTCCTTTCTTTTTTTTCTCCATCTATTACTCGATCTCTTTCACAAAGTGTGAAATCACCACAAATCCGAATTAACGGATTAGCTTTTGAAATCACAAAAATTAAAGGAGAGAATGATAAAAAACATCCATTAAAGAATGCATGGAACTAGAACAGTCTAGATAGTGAGCGAAATAAAATGTTGAAGTTCGGGATCCAAGAAAGAGAAGTCCGGAGAGTAGAACGGGGAAACGTTGTAAAAATATGGCGATAAAGATGAGGACAATAGGTCTGAATAATAAAATAGTTACAAAGAAATCAATATAGAAAGGTATAGAGAACGGTAAAAAATATGGCGAGAAAGATCAGGAAGGTTTGACAAATAGCCCTGAATACCTCATCAAGAATTTTAGACAGATAATTGAAAGGCCGGAACATTTTATGGCAATTAAATAGCGATAAAGATGAGGACAACATTGAATAATATAAAGAAAAGTTTAACACCTCATCTCAGATATAGAAAATAAAAGGACGGAACGTTGGATTAAAAATGAATAAAAGATGAGGAGAAAGTGAATAATAAAAAATGAAGACAGAGAAAAAATAGACAGAAAAAAACAGAGAGAAAGAAATGAAAGAGAGAGAGAGAGAGAGAGAGAGAGAAAAAAAAACATAACAAGAAAACTCAAGAACAGTTTGATCAATGTTTTTGATTTTTATTTAAATTAATTTTAATTAGAATTTAAAGGTAAATTTTCAGATTTATTTATCAGTAATGAGTGTAATTGAAAAAGAAAGAAAGGAAAGAAAATAAAGAAAAAATAAAAAGACAGAGAGAGAGAGAGAGAGGCATAGAGATAGAGCGAAAAAAAAGGCCATGAGACAGAATTAAAAGAATATGGGGAAAAATGATGAGAGAGAGAATGAAAGAAAGAAAAAAAGATAAAAAGAAACCAAGAACAGAAAGGTATAGAGAAGGAAAAGACAGAGAAAGAAAAGAAAAAAAGACCAAGAATCTAAAAGAATATCTGTCTATATCTCTGAGATGACATTATTATGATTACTTGCATTATTTACATTATTCAGATTGTTTGAAAAATCGTCAAATTGACAGAGATTTAAAGTTAAAAAGAAACAGTTGAATTAAAAGACCTTCTTCAGAATAAAAGACATATTGGAAATTTGAGATTAGTTATTATGATTTTTTGTAAATTATTTAGAATTTTAAGGACGGAGACGAATTTTCCTCATTTTCCTTTGAGCCATAAAAAAAACGAAAGGAAAGACGATAGAAAGAAAAATAAGACAGACAGAGAGAGGTGATTGGATCTCTCTGAAATAAAGGAAAGAGATGAGAAATAAAGAAGGAAACGAAAAAACAGGAGAGAGAATTATCCGTATCTTCATTGCCATAAGGAACAGACAATGAGAGAGAGAGAGAGACTCTCCGGAAAGAAAAGAGGACCAAGAATTAAAGAATATCTGTCTATATCTCTGAGATGGGTATTATGATTACTTGCATCATTTACATTATTCAGACTGTTATCCTCATCGTCATTGACATATTGTCTATTTCGGCATGTTTACGCCCCGACCTTCTTCAGGTGATTGGATATTTGAGATTAGTTATTATGATTACTTGTATTATTTACATTATTTGGACTGTTATCCTCATCTTCCTTGCCATATTCAAAACGTTTCAGCCGTTGTACGTTCCGGCCTTCTTCAGGTGATTGGATCTCTCTGAGATGAGGTATTATGATTACTTGCATTATTTACATTATTCGGACTGTTATCCTTATCTTCATTGCCATATTCACAATGTTTCGGCCGTTGCACTCTCCGGTCTTCTTCAGGTGATTGGATCTCTGAGATGGGGTATGACTACTTGCATCATTTACATTATTCGGACTGTCATCCTCATCTTTATTGACATATTCCCAACGTTTCGGCCATTGTAATCTCCGGTCTTCTTCATGTGATTGGATCTCTGAGAGGAGGTATTATGATTACTTGCACTATTTACATTTTTCGGACTGTTATCCTCATCTTCATTGCCATATTCACAACGTTTCGGCCGTTGTACGCTCCGGTCTTCTTCATGTGACTAGAATTTCAAATCGATGATTGAAGTTTAAATACAGTAAATTCGACCTTGCTAGCCGAGCGTTCCTCTGTGGCCAAATCGGTTAAATGCACGTCAGGCTATATGACCGTCCCGTATAGGATACAGGTTCGAATCCTGTTGGAGGACGAATATTTTCTATGAAAATTTCTAGCTAAGTACTCCATACATTCGACCTTGTGCCATGTTGTAGGCGATTCTCTGGAGAGAGGTCGAGCAGGACCCATTTTCTAAACACCGAAACCTTCCCAATCCTTTCAGATAAACGTAGGCCAGTCCTAACATTAAATATCTCACAGAATTCTCGAGCCCTAGTGGCAGGATTTCCTGTAACAGAAGCTTCTAAAATCCTCTGATTTGTACGATCTTCCATTCCAGACAACTCTCCCGTTGCCAGTCTAGTGCTTCTCAAACTTTTCTTTCTCGCCACCCATTTTTGGTGTCAAAAGAACATTTCAGGCCCACATATGAATAATACCAGAAAATACATTTTATTTACAAAAGCAAAATATTTTAGAAAATCATTTCATTTTAAATAATTTTAGAATTTGCCTATTTACATTATTCGTACTATTGTCCTCATCTTTGTTACCCTATTTATTGCACAACGTTTCGACCGTTGTACGCTCCGGCCTTCTTCAGGTGGTTGGAATGTCCAACTGAACATTTTATTTCGGTCACTGGGGTAGACTGTTCTAGTTCCACGTGCCATGTTTAATAGATGTCAGTTATCAGTTATCTCCTGTTAATTTCCCTCTGAAAGTTCTCCACTGCCTTAACGAGGTATTGAACTCACATTCTTTGGATCCTGTCACTGGATCTAACCAACACCTTTAATCACTGTGATAATTTTTATTCTCTAACTGCACGGTAAATTAAAAGTTAATTAGTTATAGTGATTTCCATGTCTATTCTAATCTATTCTAATATCAATTATTTGAATTATCATATACTTGTATTTTGATTGGCCATCATAGCTTCCGTAATAATGGTTCCTCCTATTGGCTGGGGGGAACTTTTTAAAACTTTATTTTGCACTCAACACCATCACTTGTGCCACATCTAAGCCACGCTTCGAAAATCATTATAAAAATATATGCCCCTGAAATAAGAGAGAGGGAATGATCCCAGAAAACGAAACTAAAGTCTAAAAAAAACGTTCAAACTAAACATAACTGATGTTAGTATGTATCAAACTCCCAACAATAATAATAAAAATGGCCGCTGTATAGAGGATCAAGAAGCACACACACTGACAGAGAGAGAAGAAGTGTTGCCAAACGAATTTTCCGTGTTTCCGGATACCAGGATTTCCTCTAGGTCAAGGGTCGGCAACCTACCTGCATTTTGACCGGCCCGCGAGCCTGATTACCAATGACTATTTTTAACATGAGAGACGAACTTCAAATGAAATTTGTTATATGTCATTTTCCATAGAATGTCTACACATCTCAGTGCACTAAAAATATTAGACTATCTGCCAGTTATCTTTCATGAGACTTATTTTACCAAGTTGCGTTGCCTACGTTTAATGTCAAATAATGGATACATATTTGTTATGACCCTTGGCTACATTAAAAGATAACAGAAGCGAAAGGAATGATAAAGTGAAAGAGGCCAGGGAGGGACTGACATGCGAGGTAGCAGAAATCTAAAGACAGTTAAACATACGCGCATTATACATACATGCCTCATGAATGTGTGGATGATACCGCATGTGTACGGACGTAAGTGTATATGTTTGCAACTATTTGTACTTGTGTGTATGGGTATATGTGCTTTCGTTTTTGTTTGATGTGTATGTGTGTGTGGTTCCTTTGTAGAACAATTTTCAATAACAGTTTCAAACCTACACGTCATAATTTCATCCATTTCACTTCGGGTGATTTTTTTTTCACTTTGAAGTATTTTGACGTTCCTTGAGGAAAATAAATTTTTGTTAGGTATTTTTTTAATTTTAGATTTTCTTTTGTTTTTTTTTCTGATTTCTCAATGTTTATTTTCATTATGGTTTTAAATATTTAGGTTGACAGGGGTCTGCATATATAATTTTCCTTAATTTTTCATTAATGGCCTTCGTCCGGCCAGCGACCCGTCATTTATAACACGATCCGGCCCGCTAGGTCGAATGAGTTGCCGACCCCTGCTCTAGGTCATTGGAAAAGAATTCGCTTCGTTTCGGGGCTTGCCTCTTGACGGATTTTATATCCACCCCATCTACACCTCACTTTACTTCCCCTCCATGCCAGGGCCTGACTGGTCTACAGTTCTGTCGACTGTTCATTATTCCAAGGTTCATTTCTCTGGTCAACTTTCAACAATTCTTTTGAATCAGATCCAATAACTCGCTTCCTCAGTTGCTGGCTGGGTAGGTTTTAGAGTTACGCTGACTTTTCTCTGTTTGATTCCAATTAAGCCTGGCCATCTCCGCATCAGTGCGCCTTTGTACCCTCTGAAGCCAACCCCAACCTCGGGGGGGATGTTTAAACTGCCAAAAACATGCACATGACACCCAGGGTCGAAAGATAAAGAAAAGGAATAATGAAAAACTAGAAGTAGGCAGTCAGTTACTTGTCATGCGATAGATAGACGTATCTTTCGATACTTGACGGGGCATTTTTACCCATGTATCTTTCAGATATAGAACCTGACGAGGGACGAAGATTTTTTTATATATATATAACTGAAATGTCATCTGTTAATATACCACATAACACCTTTCACAGCAATAAAGTGAAGTGCTTAGCCTAATATAAAAAATAATGAAGATGAGAAAATCGGCAGGTGCTAATGGACGAGGGATTAAACGTGTTTTTAGTGGACTCAATCTAAGGGAATCATCTTCAAAAAGAGTTCCCTGTAGTGTGTTGAATCATATATTTTTAAATAAATAATTATATTTATGCTCTACTTTTGTATTGAGCACTATTTTTTAAAGATCTACTAAAAAGGTCAGCCATTTTCTATATCATAACATATATATATATATATATATATATATATATGATCTCATCTCACAATACCCTAACACCTCTTGCTCCATATGGAGGCCCGTGTTTTGATCAAATCACTAGCGGGTCTTAAGTGGAGATTATGCGGCCCCCGTAAATCACAAATTTCATAACTGAATCAATTAAACAGTCAGATCCTCATACGTCGAAAACCGACGGGAGAGTCCATTATTATTATTATTAGTAGTAGTAGTATTGTATATATATATATATAGTAAAGGTAATAAATCCGTTGGTACATAATCCAAATGGATCCTTGTAATAAAACTCATCCACAGAAAAAGCTCAATGTATTTATTATTACAGAACAAAAATTAATACACAATAAAATCCAAAATCACCTCATATTGAGAATAAGCTTATTTCAGCAAATGAAAATATAGGTCGTCTGTTTTATCAACCCCGGTATATGGAGTGTATACCGAGGTTTATAAAACAGATGAATTTTATTTCCGTCTGTCGAAATAAGCTTATTCTCCATAAGAGGTGATTTTGGATTGTATATATATATATATATATATATATATATATATATATATGTACATACACACAAATCATAAGTGGTAGTAAAAATAATTTTCTTCTTTTATGGCAGTTATAAAGTTTTGTACCACAAAATATATATATCTTTATATATATATATATATATATATATATATATATATTTGCTAGCCCGTTTTTCACTAATCGTCTTTTAATTGTTATCATGTGTGGTAATATTAAATATAAGTTCAGTCTCTTTATGGCAGTTATTAAGTTTTGTACTACCAATAAAACTTTCATATATATATATATATATATATATATATATATATATATATATATATATGAGGAATCTACATGACACTGTATATCTGAAAGCTACGGGTTTTCAAAGGGTTCAATGTGAGCGCCGCGCGTTACAAGACATACATCCAAACGATAAACCGCTCTCGCCAAAATAACCGTCTGAATGGACTACCCCAATGCACCACTGTCACGTATATATAAATAGTCGAGAAAAGAGACACAACGCATCTTGCATGATGATTGCTTTTAGCATGTAACAGTCTGTCGCCTCTGAGTGTTGACTTCAATGTTCACTTTTATTGAGTATGTCTCCGATATTGAGTACTTTATCCCATAATTACTTCATGCCTGTTGGTAGAGTTGGTATGACGTTTGCTTGATAGCGTAACTCGGTAGTGGTTGCGCACTGCTGGTGAGTCCCAAAACGGCCGTCCAGTGCTTTCTGCATTCTGTTGAGGTTCCTTCTAGACTCGATGAATTACTTAATTATGATTATCTCACATCCTCCTAATAATTTCTATCACTTGTATATCTTTGGTCGAAACAGCTTCTATTGCTCTGGATGGAACGGCTTGGGGATAGTAGTCCTGGCTCGTGGGGGCACAGTCCTATGGTTTAAAGAGAAACTCATATGAGTTCCACCACGTAATATGTGATCGAGCGGCGCTGTATGGAGTCTGATTCACTACCTCTGCGTCACCGAGGCCCGTTGGTATATTTGGTATGACGTTTGCCTAATAATGTAACTGTCCGTAGTAATTCTCGGTAGTGGATGCGCACTGCTGATGTGTCGCAAATATAGGACGAAACGGCCGTTCGATGTTTTCTGCATTCTGTTGAGGTTTCTTTCAAACTCGATGAATTACATAATTATGATTATTTCAAATTCTATATATATATATATATATATATATATATATATATATATTATGAAATGGACAAGGTCCGACGAGTATGTTTATAGGTTGTTTTTATAGATACAAATATTTAAGTAAATGCTCTGTTTATAATAAACAGTATTAAATAATATTTACCGGCCTGAATATCCGAGAAATTTTCATAGAAAATATGCGTCCTCCGACAGGAATCGAACCTGTATCCTATACGAAACCGTCATATAGCCTGACGTGCCATAACCGATTCGGCCACAGAGGAGCGTTCGGTTAGCAAGCTATTCATAGCAGGAGGAGGCAGATACTTACTGGAGTAGTACAGATCACCAACTAACCAGCCAGCTAACCAGCCAGCCACCGATGTCTCCAACACGCTGTGCTTTTTGAGAGGTGAAAGAAGTTAGGAGGAAAATGGTAGACTTTCTCACCCCCAACGTCGTTCGTCACAGATTTAAATTTTCCTGTGCAGCCATGATCTGAGAAACAACTAATACCCCCTCATGGTCTTGATCTAGGACCGGCTAGCTTCTTTGCAAGAAGCGCTGTGGAACAGACTCCTGACAGGATGCTTTCCCGACCGTAGCCATCATAACCTCTTCAAGTCTTGGGTTTCCTGCTTTCTCTACCGCTCATACAAGTAACGCTCTACCTTGAGTGGTTCTTGGGCCTTGCATTGGGTGAACATTAATATAAAATAATCTATAGAAGATCACGTAGACATGAGCTGAGAAAGGATCAATATCACCTCGCTCTCGACATCTCCTTGACGTCACCCCCCAGGGCATGTAATTGATTTATCTTACGTCTTGTGCTGGATGTAAATTGTCGTAGAATCTCGTTAAAGAGACAGAGTGAGTGAGAAGGAGGGAGGATGAACGAGAGAGTGCGAGTGAGCAAGAGAGAGAAAGTGAGTGTGAGCAAGAGGGAGAAAGTGAGAGTTTGCAAGAGAGCGAGAGAAAATGCAACATAGCCGTGCGCTTCGAAGTACTGTCCGCAAAACGTTGAGAGAATTCTAATTAAGCAGGAAATAATTAGCTAATCATCTCTCTACGGCATGCTCCGTGTAAGTACTTATCTAGTCCTCCTTAATCAGGCTCAAGGCCATTGTAGTTGAGCATTTATATGTGATTCAACTCGTTTTTAGTACTCTGAGAGGACACGCTATTTCTACGGCAAAATCCGAAAGTTTATTTTTAATCTTTCACTTCAAGTAAGGCCATATTGCCACTAAGACGCAATGGCGGTTACTAGAAGTGAAAAAGAACGTGAAGACTTTAATAAGGAGAAAGGACAATAAAAGACCATATCTCAGGAAGAAAGAAAATGATGGTTTTTCTTGCATTTAAAGTCGTAGGTGGGAGTAAAGCAAGAAACCAGAAAACTGTTTCACAGGAAAGAAGTGCGAGAAAAGAAACTAATTAGAATTGAACTTATAGTTACATCTAGCTAGTTCGACAGTAAAACGGCAAAGCCTACTTTCTTGTAGTTGTCCGGGAAGAAAGGAAACGGAAGGGATTTCCACAGGCAGGAACTGCGGGAAAAGAAACTGTAGGCGTAAAAGTGGCGGTTGCATTTAACTATTTCAGCAGTAACAGGGTGGGACCTAGTTGCCAATCTAGTAGCACGCTTAAATTCATATAGTCGGGACACCAAGGAAAAATCTCGTCAAAGCAGTTGCCATGAAAATATTTGTAGAAAAGACAAAGGTTAGCCACATCATGCCAGTGAGAAAGTGACTGAAGTCGAGATGCCAAGTTTGGATCCTTCTTTGGATTTTGTCAAGGATCGCGAGATGTACAGCAGGAGCACCCGACCAGATATGGCAACAATCTTCAATGCACGGACGAATGGTAGATTTGTAAATGTGTAAAATAGATTATGAAGAGAAAAATCTGATATGACAAAGTGAACAAACCTTCCTAGCAATCGATTCGATATAATTATTCTTCTTCATATCAGTGGAAAACTTAAGCCCAGGAAAGTGCAAAGACTTACTTTCCTGGAGGTTAGCATCAGTCATGCTAATGGATGTCAGAAAAAGTTCTCTGTGGTGATTAAATGAAAGTAGTTTTGTTTTTGAAGGTGTTAAAACATAATGTATCAATTGAAAAAGGATAAATTAAATTTAGCCCGACGTGAAGTCGGCGAAAATCAAAGCTCGTAACTCGACGACTAGAGGGTTAGGGTGAGGAGTGTGACTGGGGTAATGTTGAGGAAATATGTAATATACAGTCAGAAGCCACGATTACTGACCCAATAACGTACAATGAATTAAACTAAATATTCACAAAGTTTCTATATGATTTCTTTCTTTCTTTCCTTTTCCTTTCTTTCTTTCTTTCTTTCTTTCTTACGTCATTCTTTTTTGTTTCTTTTTGTCCTCTTATTTTTTCTTTTCGAATTTATCGTTTGTTCTTTCTTCCTTTCTTCTCCCCTTTTCGTTCTTTCTTTCTTTATGTATATCGATATTTTCAATCTGGTTTCATTCTGTTCTTACCTTCTTTCTATCCGAGTCTTTCTTTCTTCCATTCATTCTTTCACCCGACCAGATATGGCAACAGTCTTCAATACAGGGACGAATGGTAGATTTGTAAATGTGTAAGATAGATTATGGAGAGAAAAATCTGATATGGCAAAGTGAACAAACCTTCCTAGCAATCGATTCGATATAATCATTCCTCTTCATATCAGTGGAAAACTTAAGCCCAGGAAAGTGCAAAGACTTACTTTCCTGGAGGTTAGCATCAGTCATGCTAATGGATGTCAGAAAAAGTTCTCTGTGGTGATTAAATGAAAGTTTTGTTTTTGAAGACGTTAAAGCTAAAAAAAACAAACAAAAAAAAGCATTGTTCGCCTCAGTTAACCACTGACTGGAGATCCTTTTTGAGGGCAGCTGCCAGTTTTACTTTAGAAGACTTGCTACGAAGTCAACAGGTAATAATTGTGTCGTCTGCATGAATAGAGAGTTGCGAACTGAGTATTTATTTATCTAACTTAATTTAGGATGTTTTCATCCATTTTTTCTCTCTTCCTTCCTTCCTTCCTTCTCTCTTATTTATTTTATCTATCTTTTTTTTTTCGTCTTTATATTTGGCATCTTCTTTCTTCTCCCTTTTTCTTTCTTTCTTTTTCTCGCCTTTTTGTTTATTTCTATCTTTTTATTTTTCTTTCTCTTCGACTTTATATTTCATTCCTTCTTTCTTCTTCCTTTTTCTTTCTTTCTTTCTTTCTTTCTTTCTTTCTTTCTTTTAGAATATATATATTGTTACTTCTTTCTTCTTACCGACTTCTTTTCTCTCATGCTTCTTTCTATTTTCTCTTTCTTTTCATTAAAGTTTCTATATGATTTCTTTCTTTTTTTTCATACCTTCTTTCTTTTCCTTTTCTTTCTTACTTTCTTTCTTTCTTTCTTTCTTACGTCACTATTTTTTGTTTCTTTTTGTCTTAATTTTTTCTTTTCGGATTTATCTTTTGTTATTTTTTCTCCCCTTTTCGTTCTTTCTCTCTTTCTTTATGTATCGAGATTTTCAATCTGGTTCCTTTCTTTTCTTTCTTCTTTCTTCCCGAGTTTGTCTTTCTTTCTTTCTTTCTTTCTTTCTTTCTTTCTTTCTCTAACATCCATTTCTTTTTTCATTTCTTTCTTTCTTTCTATCTTTCTTTCTTTTACATTTCTTTCTTTCTTTCGTTAACATCCATTTCTTTTTTCGTTTCTTTCTTTCTTTTACATCTATTTCTTTCTTTCTTTCTTTATTTCTTTCACATCCATTTCTTTCTTCGTTTCTTTCTTTCTTTCTTTCATATCCATTTCTTTCTTCGTTTCTTTCTTTCTTTCTATCTTTCTTTCTTTCTATCTTTCTTTCTTTCTTTCTTTTACATCCATTTTTCTTTCTTTCTTTTACATCCATTTCTTTCTTCGTTTCTTTCTTTCTTTTTTTCTTTCTTTCTTTTACATCCATTTCTTTCTTTCTTTCTTTCTTTCATATCCATTTCTTTCTTCGTTTCTTTCTTTCTTTCTTTCTTTTCAGACGTCTTTCTTTCTTTCTTTCTTTCTTTCACATCCATTTCTTTCTTCGTTTCTTTCTTTCTTTTTTTCTTTCTTTCTTTTTTTCTTTCTTTCTTTTTTTCTTTCTTTCTTTTACATCCTTTTCTTTCTTTCTTTCTTTTGCATCCATTTCTTTCTTTCTTTCTTTCTTTCTTTCTTTTCAGACGTCTTTCTTTCTTTCTTTCTTTTTTTCTTTCTTTTACATCCATTTCTTTCTTTCTTTCTTTCATATCCATTTCTTTCTTCGTTTCTTTCTTTCTTTCTTTTACCTCCATTTCTTACTTTCTTTCTTTTTTCTTTCTTTTACATCCATTTCTTTCTTTCACGTCTATTTCTTTCTTCGTTTCTTTCTTTCTTTCTTTCTTTCTTTCTTTCTTTCTTTCTTTCTTTCTTTTACATCCATTTCTTTTTTTCTTGTACATCCATTTCTTTCTTTCTTTCTTTTATATCCATTTCTTTCTTCGTTTCTTTCTTACTTTCTTTCTTTTACATCAATTTCTTTCTTTCTTTCTTTCACATCCATTTCTTTCTTCGTTTCTTTCTTTCTTTCTTTCTTTTACATCAATTTCTTTCTTTCTTTCTTTTACATCCATTTCTTTCTTTCTTTCTTTCTTTCTTTTCAGACGTCTTTCTTTTCTTTCTTTCTTTCTTTCTTTCTTTCTTTTACATCAATTTCTTTCTTTCTTTCTTTCACATCCATTTCTTTTTTCGTTTCTTTCCTTCATTCTTTTTGCCATCTTCCCTCTATTTCTCTCTCTATTTCTGGTTCTCTTGGAAAGCACGTCTAATAACATCTATAGAACAGAAAAGGATTGTTCTAGTATTTCAAGGGCGTAATATATATATATATATATATATATATATATATATATATATATACACACGCACACACACACACACACACACACACACACATATATATATATATATATATATATATGTAATGTAATATAAGATAATATAATATACATATATTACAGCAACTCTAACCTAATTCGGTTTATCCTCCGAGCGTACAAAATATCTATTTTTTTTATCAAAAATATCTGATATATTTCTTCATAGAAGGAAAACTCGGCCACCATCTTGTATATACAATTAGAACGGCGTTTGAAACACAAACCAAGAAAACAAATGCAAAAATCGATAATGTCATATGAACGGTAATCTAAACAAAGACAAAAAAAATGGCGGAAAATAGTTAAATACAGAAATGAGCCTAAATGCAAGATTTTAACACACGCTTCTCGAAGCCGGCATATCTGTGGAATTACCCAGTTGGCATCATTTTGATCGCCTGGTTTTAACTAATATTACCGTAATTTCTCGAAAATGATACGCATTTTCTTTACTGTAAAATGCAGATTATAGTAGGGTGCGTTATATAAATAGGTTTAAACAAAAATATTTTTTTCGTTATTGATTTCAGTGTAACCCGGATATAAGAAACCCGGATATAAGAGAAACCCGGATATAAGAGAGATTTTCTCTGGTCCCAAATTAGAGCCTGTGTTAATGTATATAAATTAGACCAAACCCGGATATAAGAGCAACCCGGATATGAGAGACTTCTTCTCCGGTCCGGACAACTCTCTTATATCCGGGTTACACTGTAGATACGTACTTATTGTTCTACAATAAGAAAGATATTATCCCAATTTTCTTTTTAAATCCCAAGATAATAATTGTAAGATTTTTTTTTGTCAAGAAGTTTATGTTTATGAGTAACTGCGTTGTTTATTTGGCGAAGAAATAAAAAAATCTATAAAAAGGCTAATTTTGAAGAAAAGAGGATAGCAAGTTAATAATTTATTGAAATTTTAATTTTCATTATTATCATCACCACTTTCTATTATAGAATCGATATCTAAATTTTTATTAAATAAATTATCATTCACAATGTTATCTTCAAAATTACCTTCGGCCTTTTGATTCTTTTGTCAAAGGATGTCATCTTCAGAGGCATCCATGGTTGTCATGAGACAGCACTTCTTGAAATCTCTCTTTATAACATCTTCACTGATGGAATCACAAGATTACTGAATCCATTTTACAATAAGTTCCAACTCTGTTTTTTTCCTGTCACCATTTATCGGGAAAACCGTCTGGTAATTCTCAACATTATTTTAGTCGCTTAGTTTCGACTTTATTCTTAATATCAAGGTCGACAAAATGTCTTCGTAGTTTTTTTTTTTCTTATTTTTCTTTGTCTTTTTTTTTGTTCTTTTTTTCTTTGTCTTTTTTTTTTGAAGAAATTTATAGATGCTCATTATACATAGGGATAGGTATATATCTTAACTTTTGGATCATTTGTTGGGGTGCGTATTATTTATGGATGTGTATTATTTTCGGGAAATTATGGTAATATAAGATTCTACTGGGCATAAAGTGGGGGATTGGTTATCTGTTGTTCTTAAGTAATGAACTGATCCCCCAAAAATTAAATCTACTAGATTCGCACTACAGAGGAAGAACGACTCAAAGGCTAGATTATCCGATTAAGCAACACGTGACTACAAAAATCCGGAAGTCTAATTATTTACTTTCAGATGTTCTGACTAACACATCCGGATCTTCTATGGCGGAACACCTTATAAATAACCGCAATTGGGCTGCTAATTTTACTGTAGACTCGTTTTCCATCTTGATTAGGTCCCCCTCTAATTACCTCCTAAAAATACCGGAGGCCATATATATTCAATCTATGAAGCCTTCTCTCTTCAAATAGAAGGATTTTCTCCTTGGCTTCCAGCTGGTTTTCCATTTAAAAGTTAATTTTATTTTTCTGTTTCGCACATTCTCCATTCATTTTATTGATAATGTATACCTATTTATTAACTTTGATTTAGTTCTGTTGAGCGAGGTTCGAAACCGGTTAGCGAGCCCGTTTTTTTTCAGTTTTATTTCTTATCTATTATCATCATAAGTGGTAGTTGTCTTTTTATGTCACTTATAAAGTTTTGTACCACAAAACATATATATATATATATATATATATATATATATATATATATATATATGTGTGTGTGTGTGTGTGTGTGTGTGTGTGTGTGAAAAAAATATACAGAAAAAACAAACAAAAATCTTAATATACAATTAAACATATTAATGTTAATATAAAGTCAAAGAAAAGACATTTCGGTCTATTTTAGACCATCTTTAACATTTTCATTTAAACATAATTAACATTAGAACATATAAAATTAGACCGAAACGACGATGGAATTTTTTATATTTAACATTTTACAGCATAATTGCATTTAAGATTTTTGTTTGTTTTTTCTGTATATATTTCTTCATACTGTCGGATCTATATCCATATATTTGCTTATATATATATATATATATATATATATATATATATATATATATATATATTTGCTAGCCTGTTTTTTTACTTTTGTTCTTTTAATTGTTATCATGTGTGGTAATATTAAAAATAAGTTTGTCTATTTATGGCGGTTATTAAGTTTTGTACCACCAATAAAACTTTCAAGTGTATATGGGGGAAAATGATCACACACCTTCCATACTTGATACATTAAAAGAGAAGGACACTACATTCACCCCACAAAACAGAGACATACAGATATTTGAAATAGCCATAACAAATGACATGAAGAAAACAATAGCACGTAAGCTGCCGCGTGACAATATTAAAAGGGGAACGTATAGCCCTCGATACGCTGACACACAGAGATGACCTAATCATAACACAGGCTGACAAAGGGGGTGCGACAGTGATCTGGGGAATCGAAGAATACATTAAAGAGGCCAACAAACAGCTAGCCGACAAAGAAACCTATAAAAGCTTACCTACAGTTCCCCTTCCCGAATACCAAAAAGAATTAACTAGCTCACTAAACATAATGCTTCGCAACAATCTAATCGACAAAGAAACATGCACAACACTTACACCCACAAACATTACACCTGCTCGTTTTTATCTCCTTTCTAAAATACACAAAAACAACAACCCAGGAAGGCCGGTTATTTCATCGTTCAACTGCCACATGACAAAAATTTCCAAATACGTAGACCATTACATACAACCGCTAGCTAAGGAAGTAAAATCCTACATCAGAAACACAACAGATCTACTAAACAAAATTAATCACATACAAACAGTTCCAGAGAATGCTATTCTAGTGACTATGGACGTACGGTCACCCTATTCAAAAATTAAACACATCGAAGGGCTAACCGCCCTTCAGGAAGCACTTACTAAAAGAAGTAAACAAGACCCCCCCCACAGAAATTATCATAAAACTCATGGAGTATGTCCTTACATTGAATACATTCAACTTCAATGGAGCACACTACCTTCAAATAAGAGGTTGTGCCATGGGCACCATTGCAGCTTCATCATATGCTACAATATTCATGGGAAAATTTGAGGAGACCCATATCTATCCCTTCATTGGTAGTGACTGCGTATTCTATGCAAGATATATCGATGATATATTCTTTGTATACATGGGTAGTGATGACAAACTTGCCCAATTCCTTATGACCCTAAACACAGTGCACGACTCAATTAAGTTTGACTATGAAAAATCCACAACATCAGTAACATTTTTAGACACCCGCATTTACATAGATGAAAACAGAAAACTACAAACGACACTACACACTAAAATCACCGACACCCACAACTATCTACACTTCAAGTCTTCCCACTCTAAACACATCAAAGAGAACTTTCCATATTCACAAGCACTTAGACTCAGAAGGATATGTTCCAACAATGAAGAATTGAAAATCTGGAGCATCAATTCACAACATGTGGCTATAAACAACACCTAATCAGGGATCAAATAAATAAAGCAATTTCCACACCTAGAGAAGACACCCTAATGTACAAGATTAAACATAAATCTAGCCGCATCCCTCTAGTAACCACTTTCAATCCCACTCTGCCTCCACTATCCCAAATAATCAAACGTCGCTGGGAAATACTACATCTCAAATCAGACCTAAAAAAATTGTTTAAGAAACCCGGCCTTTTAGCATATCGTAGACCTAAGAACCTAAAAGAAATCTTAGGTAGTAACCACATTTCAGGGGACAAGGTAATCCGTAAGGAACTGAGAACAAAAACAACAGGATTTTCCCAACCATGTAACAACAAAAGAAGTTTATGTTGCAACCATATTAAAAACACGAATTCATTCACTAGCTCAATCACTAAATCTACCACGATTCTAACTGTAGAAGTCATAACATAATTTACCTCCTAGAATGCACACTGTGCCAGAAACAATATGTAGGAAAATCTGAATGGCCCTTTCACTACAGAATTAATAATTATCGCAATCGAATTAAGTCGACTCCCCATGAAAAATTATTACCTGTAGAACAACATTTCCGCCTGGAAAAACACGATTTCAAAACCCATGCCAAATTCACTATAATTGAGAGAATAGAAAAGTTCAGAGCAGATAACATTAGAAAGATTTTAGAGTCCCATGAAAATAAGTGGATACAACGTCTAAAAACAAAATACCCAGCCGGGCTAAATCATAAATTTTAACAATATATAGATAGTAACAATATATAACTCAACAAATCAAAACCTACCCACATTTCTCACCCACACAAGACAGACATGCTTACGGAGGTGTGGAGGCCTCACACTTATACACACACCCACACGAACATACACACTTACGCACATCGTACTCACTCACTCCCTAAGAACCAAACAACACAAACACTAAACAGAGACACATCCCCTCTCCAGAACCAATAAAACTGTCAAACTGACCAGTGGAATTCAGAGCAGCGTAGATCCATCCAGCTCTTATCTCAAATAACAACTTAAAAGAGACTGTTTG